GAAAATAACACACAATGACCACAATAATACGAACAAATTGGTTCTTCATTTTTTCATTTCAGCGCCGCTAACTTGATTGAGCTAGTGCGAGAAGGCGTGGAAAGCGGTCTGCAATTCCTGGTACGCAAGCGAGAAACAAACGTGAATAATAACAAGAGATAGCAATTGCAACACTGCTGTTAATGAGCGTAAGCACAGACGGTGGCTAGGAATGGAGAAATCGTACGAGTCTCACACTGATGAGGTTAAAGCGTTCGATGATTTCCATCTTTACGAAAATATTCAAAGGGAAATTTCTAACGTACGATTGGGAAAATGGTCGCGCCATTGAAATGTATTGCATACAAGTTTAAAACGTCAATACAATTTTAATAAAAACAAATTTTTGACAATTTTTAAAACAGTTTACTCAATAAGTGGCAGAAATTTACAAATTTTAATGTATATCAACTTAACAGTATATTATTTGCAATTACACCATTAATTGTAGCATTAATTAAAATAATTAACTTCTAAAGAGGCAACAGTGGGTTACTGCGTAAAATTATTTATTATAAGTTTTCTATTTTAACAAGGTAAGAGGCAAGCAAAAAGTGCGCTTATATGTAGTTAAAAGTATAATCACACACATATTTGCATTATATGTATATGTATAAATATACTTATAACAAACAACGTAGATAACAAGAAGGGACAAGTCGTTATAATTGTGGCGAAAGTGCGCAACAGGGGCGTGCCTTCTCTTTTCATCCAATCAAAAAACGCACTAGGGCAAAAGAGAAGGCACGCCCCTGCTGCGCACTTTCGCCACAATTATAACGAGTTTTACCTTCTTGTTATCTACGTTCTTTGCTTATAATTCGGACGTTGCCTATGATATAATAGAGTTAACAATTTGTTTGCAATGTTATTATTAAGTATACATTAATATTTATACGACCTAATATTTTTAGTGGGTAAACACAAAAGTGACTTAACAACATCAAATAAAGAGGAATAAAAATGCTATTTATAAACTCTAACAATAATTAACTTTTTTAACAGATTGGTAAATAATTCAAAGTAATATAAATAAATAAGCTTTTAGAAATACCAATAAGTCACCTATCCCCAAACGAACAGTTTTTGTAAGGCTAATATTTATTTAAATCAAAATAAATAATTTGAAATTACGCATCATCCATTGCAGCTATCACTTTTTTTGTGCATCGCCATTCTCTAATTTATATCTAAAATTAGATTTATTAATTAAGGATCATTGGTTTTTAGGATTACCTATACACTCATACCCATTCGCACATTAACAGAAATATTTATTTTACAAGTTGACTACATTTCTGTGGACATTTGAAGGAACAACTTAAGTCTTTCTTTCACGGACAAACAAAATACCATATATCGACAAAACATATTTTACCGTTAAAGAGAATGTTGCAATTCGAAAGAAATATTAAATTATTTTATCGCTATTCACACCTCTAAAAATGTTTATGTTTGCAACAACTGCATGTTTTCATTTAAATAAAATTTATTGCTCTGACGGTAAAACGTGAAAGATAGACTTAAGTTGTTCAGTTAAATGTTCACAGATATGTATATCCATTTTAAAAATTTGAAGTAAATACACATTCATACATATGAGGAAAAACATCAAGTGTAGCTAGTGAAATTGAAGCTATGCGACCTGAAAACTTATCTCATTTTGTAGGTGTCGTAGATCCTCGCTCCAAGAATAAAAAAGTTGCCTTTTATCGAATTGAGCTGGAGTAACGTCCATGCTGTCAGTATGGATAATGATTTATTGTAATTTGAACAAATACGTATGGTAACACTGATAAGTAGGGCTCAAATTTTATTGGCAAATCACCCATTTTCTGAAGCTTCATTAGCGTTGCCTAGGTATGTAGAAGTGCAATTCTTAGGTCATAGGAAATGTATTTGGAGTCAGTTTTCAGGACTTTATTTGCAATTTTTTTGGATTGTTTGTAGCCATTTCTTTTTTGTTTGATTAAGTCATCTGACCACATTTTCTAGATGTTCTTATATTTATGTAAAATACATACAAATATTGAACTTTTTTATCTGAATTTTTAGAAAATTCTAGCCTAGAAACTTAATTCTAGAAAATTAGCATTTTAAATTTTAGTATAATAGGTGCATTCTTTTGCAACCGAGCTACAAAAGAACAGTCGGTAAAATGACGAAATATATACAAAGCAACAACACAAACTCGACTATTGATCCGGGTTCAGCCAGACGGTTCAAAAATACGCGACCTGAGGCGTAGTATTGTTAAGTGAAAAAACTGCTCTATTGTGAATTGTTGATCGGAAAGTGGTTAGGGAAACTTTTTTTTCCTTGTATACATGATTTATATTTAAAAAACTATATATATTACGCGAATACCTCGCGTAATTACTCATTTCCATCCGTTTTTGAATCTATATCCCATTAAATTAATTACATGTTTCTTGTCAAATACCAAAAGGGGTTGCTTAAGTAGCTAAAAGGAAATTTTACCTGAGTTCAGCGTTCTTTTGTCGCTCGTTTACAAAAGAATGCCCCTAATAAAGTGCAAGCCATTGCTTTTTCATACAACAAATGTAATTTATAAAAACTGGCTTTGATTTTTTTCAAGCTTCTTTGCAAACGGTCTCGCGCACTTTCTTTAAGAAGAAATTCATGATTATATGGAAAAAAAGTGAAAAAAAAGAAAAATCAACGCGATTTCTTAGCCGCTTATAACTTGCACTTTATTATACCAAAATTAAACAGGCTATTAAACTGCATACCCAAAAATTTGAAAGGCTTTGTGTGGAGGAAGAAAGTTACATTATAGTACATATGTACATAAACGTGGATAGTTCGCTAGTTTGGCAAGAATATTGTACTATAATCTAAAAAATTATCATTTTCTTTCAAAGCAAACTCGTAAGAAATGAACAAACTTACTCCGAATTCAATTAGTATTTTTTTTGATTAAACAGTAATTACTCAGGATATGATTAATCAGAATGTAATTAATAAGAGTTTTTGATAAATCAGGATTACGATTAATCAAAAAATTAATTAACCGATTGACCGCACATACCTCGTGTTTAAATATTTTCTACTGAATAGCCTCATTGATTAAAAAAAAAATAGTAAGCTTGCCAAAAGATATCTCAAACTGGCGCCAATTAATTTTATTTTCCCCATTTGTACCATATTTATCAAAATGTTATCTAGAAGACTTTTTGCTACAAGTAAATAACAATTTCTTCTAAGTAAAATTATGTACTTACATACTACATTTATTGCAGGGAGGGAAAGTCTGCATAATTCTACGCAGAAAAGGCAACAGGAGCAACGTAAGGTTTGTGCTATTGGCAAATTTGTTATTTGTCAAGAGTTAATTTTTTTCCAGAATCCATATTAGAACATGAATTAACAACTGACAACAAATTTTGTATGCGCGAAGTCATGTAAACATTTTCTTTTAATAAATTGAGAATTAAAAAAGGTTAGAAAAGTTTAAAACAAATATTTGTGACTTATTCCACTATAACTACGATCTGTATTAGGTTACTCCAAAAGTAAATTTTTAAGATTATCGAGTGTTATTCGCCTTTTGGTTTTAGAATGTCGTTAAATCTTCGCTTTGTAATGTTTCCAGAGAGATGTGTATTTGATTAAAGTCCACTCAAAACTTATTTTCTGAAAAGGAGTGATTGTCTTCTGCTCTGCGCATACACTTGATGTGCTCTGCCCATTGTATGTAAGGTCGGTATTATGCCGACAAACTTTTGTTTGGCAAATTAAATGGCGGCTGCTTAGTCGGTGGTGGTTACGTCGACTTTGGCACAAGGTTGCACATTGGTTGTGGTTTTTGTGGTTATTGCCAACACGAAATGAAAAATGCAGATGTACATATCGTGCAAAACTTTGTATTTTTAATAATATTGTAAACGCAATTAACAGTGCCCTAAACTGTGAAGCTCCCACAGCATAAATTCTGTTCTCTGTCATTCGGTATCACGACAATTTTTGTGTATAACAATAATAACCTACAATTTTTGTGTATGGCAACACTAATTTTACAGCAGTTTGGCCAAACAAAATTAGTTTGCTGTGAGGGACGCCAAACTCGCTTTCTCCGAATTTGCTGCAACAACAATTGCACGCAGTTTGCCAAACAAAATTTCTGCATAACACCGACCTAATATGTGCGTATGCATGAGCGTAATTTAGATTTACATTAAGAGTATTCTTCAAACCTTATGGATGCATTATAAACCGTATATAAACTTATAATTGAGTAAACCTTATAAATGAACTGTCAAAATTTATATGGAAACTCGTTTACACATTTCTGATAAATTTCTCCACCGATTTCACTGAAAAAACTTGATAAACTGAAGCCAATGCAACTCTGTCGCAACTCTAGCTGTGTTTTCGGGATCCGCATAAAATTTTTGGACACTAATTCAACAACAACGATATGATCCTGATAGAGATCTGGTTCAGCAAGTGTAAACGAAAGGAGAGTATGGGGCGTTCATGTAACATAGTGCTTAAATTTATAAGAATATCTGTTTGATAAAGTTATCAGTTTTGATGAATACCACTATTGCTTTGTGTACAATACAATGTCTTAAAGCTCAGTTAGTCTGGACCTAATTTTAGTAACTTAACTTAATATTTTGGCCAACCAGTTATATGAGAAACTGTGGCTGACTTCTAAAACGTATCAATGCAATGTTTGGAAACTGTTATAACTGCGGTATTCAAACTGTTTGTAAATGCAGAGTTGCGACATATTGCAACCTTATACATTGCATATTTTAAATATTCAATTTAGCAATGAACAATTTTTCTCAATTTTCCATTTTTAAAACACCAATGGTAACCAAAAACAAACGAAGCATCAACTTTGTTTCTGATGCGCTGATTGCTCTAGCGATGCGTTTCGATAATTTTTCGAATGCGTTTTGGAAAAGTATGCATTGCCAACATTTTGTAGTTCGGCGTTATGGGACATTATACTTTGTATGTATGCAAAGCAATTGACGTTTTGGAAGTCAGCCTGTGTTAGCGGTTAGGTAATACTTAACTTACCGTTAGAAACTTAAGAACCTGCAGATTTTAGGTTCTTAAGTTACGGCCTTACGGAAATTGAGACCGGTGAGGGAATTTGTGTTATTTGTATTGTGCGCTTTGTATTTCTTAAAAATGAATGAATGCAAACTTTTTTTTTGCACGAATTTTTTTGATGTGCCATTTTAGCGCGTGAACTGTCAAACATCTAAAAAAAAAATGCAAAAACACAAAATATTTTCGCTTCTGACTTAAGTTGACGTGTTGAGTAATCATTGGCGATTTCTTACGGTAAGTTAAATTAAGTCTTGACTAAATTTTTACACCATTTTAGAATATTGAATACCCGTTACAAAATTATCAAAAATCGAATAAACTGTAAATCTATACTACTGGAGCACTTATTTGCTTATGTGATTGCATATACGTATATACATATGTAAGTATCATTATACTATGTAAGTGTGTATGTATTTGTATGTCTGTACGTATCGCGTTACATAAAAGTCTCGTGCTTCAATGATGGTGAAATGTTTAATTTATTCAACATCTTTAGGTGCCTATGTACTTGTAAAACTAGTGTATAAAATACAGTTTTATGTGTGTCGCTAAATGGCTCTACAGTGAATAGAGCTCAACTTTTTTAGCTGCCTCCTGCTGCATTTTTTCTCTGAGGTGCGTAACATCTTCGTCTATTCGCACAATCGCACGGATTTTCTGAAAATAAAAGGCAAGTGAATGAATGAATAGCTCCTACAATACCAACGTGTATAAACGCATTTCTTTAGTAAATTTTGAATGTAAAATTAAACCTTAAGGTGTATCAAAAAAACTTATAACTACACTGAGAAAAAAGGATAGTTTCAATAACTAAATATACATATATATATACATATACATAAATATATTTAGTTGTCAAATTTTGACAAGATTTGGGAGCTATTACCAAAGTTTGGGAACTATTACCAGGGTTTGGTAATTATAATTAAATATATTAAAGCTTGTGATATTCATCTAGGTTCAACCATATCATTAATTTAGTTGATGTGTTTGGTCAATACTAATTAATATTGCTTTGAAGCATATTTCTACAACTTCGCAACTTCTCTCAACACTTGGTGTAGTCATAGTTACCAAATCTTGTACTACGTTTATGCATAGGCCAATTCACGAAAACATTTCAAAAATTTGAGCATAAACTGAGTGCATAAACACAATTTCACGAATTTAACTGAGTTTCTACGCAAATTTCGTGAATCGTCCTACGTATATATCGTCACTACCGGCCGGCAGCCGATTTGTTAGCCGTTTTCCAAAAAAAAGTTAGCCATTTTTAGCCGATTTCGCTATTTGCCGTATTTTATTAAAATTCAAATATAAGTACATATGAGTTTCGATTTTACAAATTTGGCGACCCAAAATCTATTAGAAACTGCTAGCTTTATCTCGGAGAAGATTTTCAAGTCGGACTGTGTTAAGTATATGAAATTGAAAGAATTTTCTCTAATCCGAAAAGTCTTAAAATACTGGGCCGATTTCAATGATTTTTATTTTATATGAATATGTAGTGACCCAACATTTTAGCTTATTATTTTTTACGAAGGTATAGCTGATTACTTACAAACACTATTTAAATCCAAATTTCATATTCTATGAAAAAATATGAAAATTAATTAATTTAAAATTTTAGTACAGTAAAGTGCAAATTTAATGTCGCTGGCACTTACCGTTGATTTTTGACAATATTTTGTTGGCAGTGTTCCGCATTTTTTCCACATACATATATTTTAGTATAGAAAAAAATCGTAACACCGTTATAAAAATTACAAAAATCCTGTTGATTACAAAAATCAACGGTATGTCCTAGCTACCTAAAATGTTCACCATATTATACTAAATTTTAATGGACTAAAAAACTGCATGCATACCATTTTATAAAGATGCTGATTAAAAAGTTAACAATTTTGGTGAATTTTTGCAGAATTTTCATAATTTTTGCACAAGGTGTTTGGCGTTGGTTGAGTAATCAGCTATATTTTCATAAAAAACTAATAAACAGAAAATAAACTAAAAAAAATCAAAGAAGAACGTAGCCCGTACAATTTTTGTTATGAGTGGCTTAAATTTAAGTGTGATTATTCTAGAGTCCGAGCGATTAATCGGCCGATGCCGGGGGTAGTATAGGCCAAAAGAATCGGCATCGGCCGTTTTTGGCCGATTCTTGAATGAGGTTTTGTTATTTAGTTATGTATTTTATTACGTTTTTCTTCTGTTATTATAAAAGTTTATAAAAGCATTTGTTCTTGAAATAAATTTAATTCAGGATTTAATCGGCCGATTATTTGCCGATTAAACCATGAATATAATTTCATTTTAGGAACAAATGCTTTTACAAATTTTTATAATAACAAAAGAAAAACATAATCAAATAACTAAGTAACAATACCTCATTCAAGAATCGGTCAAAAACGGCCGATTCCGATTCTTTTGGCCGATACTAGCCTCGGCATCGGTCGATTCATCGGTCTGACTCTATTTTACTCGCAACACTTAGAAAATAACGAATAGAATAAAGGAGTACGAATATCGATGTGAAGCAAAACTCTATGGGAAGAGAATACCTGTGAATAATTGTATCATGGTGCCAACATACTTTATTCTTGCTTATTGTTGCTCTCAGACAGGAACGTGAGAGAAACAGTAGGAATTAAAGACAGGTGTTTCGAATATATGGACATCAAAATATAATTAAATAGTTGAATTGTTAAAACATAAAAAGCGACCGGCTTGTTCGATATAAATTAATGGCATTTTCTTTTCTCGAAATAATGTTGGCCTGTTTTCTTCAGCCCTTTCACAGCTTCACGTGTTCGTTTCTCAAAATATTGCCTTCCGACTAAGGAAAACACTTTATATACCAATTTTTCAGGACGAACAGTAACCTAGTGCAAATGTTACAATGTAAGGCAAAATTTTTTGATAAAAAAGAAAACACCATAAGTTTGTAATTGATCTCTTTTTACAACGCTTTTCTCAACCTGCAATATTGTATGTCCAGACCACCATTTATACTATAAATGTAGCAAAGCTATTTATGGCAAATTCTAGATATCAACCTAGTCTAGATCTTAACCTCGTTGTAGGCAATATAACAAAGAGATACAATTAGAAGACTCCAGATGTCGCCCCGCCAGAAGAAGTTAAATATTGCGCCTAAATATATGCACTATTTACATACGCTGCAGCGGAAATAGACGATACGCCATTTCTTTAAATGAAATTAACTGTATTATTATTAACTGTAATGTATGTTTATACTAAACGTGAGCAAACATTTTGCTTGCATAGTCTTCTGTTCTCTTTTCACTGCAAGCTGAATTATTTTAATATGTATTGCAAAATTTTATGCAGACAAGACTAAAAAACAGAAAATAAATACAATAAAAAACTTTTTAATATACAACTCTTTTATAAATGGACTAACAATTAGAAAATAATATTTCTCAGTCCCATAGAATTTGTTTTGATAACTTTTGTTTTTTCAAATTTTAGCAAAAGTCATTATAAATCATTTATGAGATTGAAAATGAAAAGTGTGGGGCGCATGTAATAGACCTGAATTGATATGGATGGTAATATATGTATGAATGTGGATATATGAATAACGACCGCTTCGATCTCAAATTTGCAATTTCTCTGTAGAAATTTTAGGTCTATGTTATGTAGTTTGACTATTGTCCATTAAATCTAATGCTTTGTATTGCATGCGTTCCACGTTTTTCGTTTTCAATCTCATAAATGGTTTATAATGACTTTTGCTAAAATTTCAAAATCGAAAGTTATCAAAACATATTCTATGGGACTGAAAAATATTATTTTCTAATTTTTAGTAGTAGCGTTGTATATTAAAAATTTTTTTAACTTATTTGTTTTTCTATTTAAGTAATACAAATATGACTTCTGATGTACGTATAACGACAGTTTCTTTTGTTTAACAAAAATAACTTGTAATGAATTTACCAGTCCCTGTTTTTGTGATTTATTTAGCGAGTGGTGTAAAGCCTTTATTAACCAAAAAAAATAGTTTAATGGTTTTACCGGTCTTTCTACTTGCGATTTCTTTAAATAAAACAGGCGAATTAAAGTTGAAACATTTTAGCCGCTTTTTTGACCAAAATAGCCGGTCGGATCAAAAAGTTCTGGCCACACTGCTAGCAAGTGTTGGTGCCAGCCGATTGACGGTGTTGTTCTTGTTTCAAAATTTCAAAATTTTATGGTTGTACCAACATGCTGGTGTCGTGAATGGTAAAATTAGCTCATTAAATAAATAAAAAGTATTTTACCGGAAATTTCTCGCAATATATTCTATATGAGTTAAAGCCGTGTTTGTGAAAAAATTATGAAATTTCGGCTCTAGTCATTTCGGTCTTTTCTTTTCTTTTTGTAAAGCAAGCAAGCTGGTGTCGTGTATTTGCCGTTTTATATATACATATATGTGTAAGTAAAAAATATTAGCTACCATTTTTAGACACAATGAATTTTTTTAGCTCTTTTTAGCCCTATTTTAAAAGGAATTTGGCTACCACTAATGATTCGCGGCAACACTGGTGCCGACCATTGTTTTAAGCACTGCATCTCTCCTTCATTCGAATAAAAAATCAACTGTTGCACTGACGAAAGGTTTTGTCATACGAACAATTGCTGCACGATAGGCAAAACAAACGACATAACAAAACTGAAGTAGAACCAAATTGAAGTCAGTGTTGCCAGAATATTTGTGTACCCCATCCCCATATCGGGCTGCAGTTATCCCCAAAAAATCCCCATTTTCTTTTAAATCCCCATTTAAATCCCCTTTAGTAAGGAATAAAAAAGCATGTATTCATATTTGCGTTAGTTCATTTTAATCCAGTTTTCATTTTAACACAGTTTTCATTTTATTACAGTTTTGAGTACTTTTCCTACACATTTTAACAAATTTATATATGTATATCTACATACGTACATATGTACATATGAGGTCATTTGGTTATACGTACAACTATGGTCAGAGATTTAGTACCAAAATTCAAAGTTATATGTTTTTACAACATATGTTTATTTATTTATTTTTACTAATTTTCTTTTAAAATATAATTCAATCTACAACAGAAACAGCATAAATAAAAGTTTAAAATCAAAAAGTAATCAAACTTTTTTAGTATAATAAAGTACAAGTCTCAAATAGCTAAAGAATACCGTTTATTTTTTAGAATTTCTTTCGTGGAGGTTGTTGCGGAAATTTTTTTTTGTTCAGTGAAAGCCAATCAAAGCAGACATCTGCGCCGAATAATGCTTTGATGGCGTTAGGAAAACCTTAAAAACATATCGGGCAAAAAGTATGTACTAATAAAATCTTTATTGGAGAAATTTTGATGGGCAGCCAGAAAAATATATGTTTTAATTTCAATATCAAAGTTTTAAACCAAACAAAAATCCCCATAAAATCCCCACATCCACAAACGAAAAAATCTATCCCCAAATGGTTTCATAAATCCCCAAAATGGGGCGAAATCCTCACATCTGGCAACTCTGACTGAAGTAGATACGAATGCAAATTTTGGGGGGTAACATCGATATATCGATGGTTTCCGATGTATCACAATTTGTTAGGTTGTAGTCACATAAAAAGGAAAATTTAAAACTTTTCAATTCCAACTCTCTACAATTCAATTAGA